TAAATAAATAAAAAATATTCTCTCTCTCTCTTAAAAAAAAAAGAAGTGATGTCTGAATGCCCCCAAAATCTCCACCTATTTTCAGAAAAGACATGAAAATTCTTCTCCTTTATTAGCCTATCCTCCCAACTAAGTTTTTTTTTTAACTTGAATTTTACTTTTTTAGTTGTTGATAGAACTTTATTTATTTGTATGTGGTGCTGAGAATCGAACCCAGTGCCTCACACATGCTAGGCAAGTGCTCTACCACTGAACCACCACCCCAGCCTCCAACCAAGGTTTTTACTTGAAGGAAGAGCATGTTATTTGGGTGTGGTACTGGGTATGAACCCAGGGCCTCACACATGCCAGGCAACCACTCTACCACTGAACCATATCCCCAGCCCTTCCTCTCATTTCTTTTACCCTGTTTCTCTTATTTTCGGTTAAAAATAAACCTTCCTTAGCTGGGTGTGGTGGTGCATGCCTGTATTCTCCAGTGACTCTGGAGGCTGAGGAAAGAGGATTGCAGGTTCGGGGTCAGTCTCAGCAATGTATCGAGGCCCTGAGCATCTTAATGAGACCCTGTCTCAAAATAAAAAATTTAAAAAGAGCTGGGGATGTGACATAGTGGTAAAGCAACCCTGGGTTCAATCCTAATAATAAACAAACAAATAAATAAATAAATAAATAAATAAAACTTCCTTCAGTTGGGGGGTCAAAATCAGTTACACTACCATATCCCAATAATATCACATGCTCGTGACCATGCCTTTAACACATGGGCCTTTGGGGGACACTTGTCTGAATTGTACCAATGCTCAAAATTTATATGACTTAAACTGAGTATGGTGGCACTTGCCTATAATCACAGTGACTCAGGGGGCTGAGACAGGAGTATCACAAGTTCAAACTCAGCAAGCAACTTAGCAAGACCCTTTCTCAAAATAAAAAAAAAAAAAAAAGGACTGGGGAAGAAACTCAGTGATGAAGTGCCCCTGGGTTCCATCCCCACTACCAATAAATAAATAAATAAATTTAATGACTTAGAATAATCATTTATTTCAATAGTCCTCCCTTATCTTTGGGTAGTACATTCCAGGACCCCCAGTGGATGTGTGAAACCTCAAACAGACCAAATTTTATGTATACATGGTTTTTCTTATATATACTTACCTGCAATAAAATTTAATTTATAAGCTAGGCATGGTGGTGCATGCCTGTAATTCCAGCAACTAAGGAGGCTGAGATAGGAGAATCACAAGTTCAAGGCCAGCTTTGGCAACTAGCAAAAACCAATAAGCAAAAACCATTGGATCTCAGTGGTAGAGCACTCCTGGGTTCCATCCCCAAATAAATAAGTTAATGAGTACAGTTTAATTTATAAATTAGGCACAGTAAGAGAGTAATTACTAATAATGAAATAGAACAATTGTAACAATAGATTGCAAAAGTTATGAATTGTTTATTTCTAGAATTTTCTATCTGATATTTTCTGACTATTATTAATCATGGGTTACTGAAACCTTGGAAAGTGAAACCATGAATAAGGGTAGGTCTACTGTGTATCTCACAGTTTTGTGTTATTTGTTTCACTACATTTGGGCAGTGTTCCATTAGATAATTCTTCTATTTCATGTGTCAATGATAAAAAATTATATGATATTCATTTGATAGGTGGGCTGATCTGGGGGGCTCAAGACAGCTTTGTTCCCATGTCTGGGGCCTTGGTGGGGGTGGCTGGAAGACTGAGCTCAGTTGAGACTGTTGACAGAAGCACCTATATGTGGCATCTTGAATAACACAGTCTCAAAGCAATTGGACTTTTTGGCAATCAGGGCTTCCCAAGGAAATATTTCAGAGTCGTGGGTAGAAGGTGAAAGTTTCCTTTGATGTGACCTGAAGTCCTGGAATGTCACTTCTGCTGTGTTATATTGGTCAAGCAAGTTACTTGTTCGGCCCAGATTGAAGTAAGGAATCAGACTCTCAGTGAAAGGAGAAGCAAAGAATATGTGGTTTCCTTTCATATACCATACCTGATAAGGGAGTCTAGTAAATGGGGAATGTTCCTTAATAGAAAATGAAGAAAGATGATGTTAACAGTTACCAGACCAAATGCAGGCTCATTTTCAGTCAAAGGAATCTTAAAACCCTGAGGTTTTTTTAATCTGCTGATTGGTGTCTGCTGCTTTCAAGTGGCCCAGAAGGGCTTATCTGGGGTGTCAAGGGCTATCATTTGTTAGAGTCTGTAAACAAGTCAAAATAACACCTGGCATTTTGCCAGGGGAATGTTAGAGTTCGTAAACAAGTCTGGATGGTGCCTGGCAAAGTGCCAGAGGGAGTGGTTTGTGAAGTAACTCCAGCGAGCCATTAAGTGTGAAGATTTCTTATTGGTTGACTGATGTATCTAGTTTATGCTAATTAAGATAAGCTGTGTGGAATGTATAAATACCTCTGTTGTCCTACAATAAACGGCTCCTACTCCTGCTGTACCAATCTACACAAGTTGTTCGTCCCCCCCCCCCCCCACCCCCTGGTTATTTTGCTGCAGCCGGACTGCGGCACTTGTTCATATATCACAGATTCTGTGATACTCTTAAAGTTGGTAGTAGTGATATCACAGGAGAAGAGATTTCTCTGGAGAAAGGAGGTCTCTCAATGAGTTCCCAGCTCAGGACAATGGGGTTCTTGGCATATTGGATGGAAAAGGACTTCAACACGCCCAGTGAGAGACACAGATAAAGGTTTATTTAGAGAAGCAGAAGCACATTCGAGGGAGAATGCAGGCTATCTCCAGAGGGAAAGACAGCAACCCATTGGTGTAAGGTGTAAATATTTATAGAGGAATGAATGCTAGGGTGTTATAGTTAAAGGGTTTCATAAACTGACTTCCAGGCCACTCACGTATAATCAAATCAAGCCTTTATTGAAGCACATTAGTGGCGATTGACCAGAACATAAAGCTGTTCCCCTGATCAGCCCTGAACAATTGCAAGGGTGCTCCTTATAAGCTTGAAAACTGCAAAAGGGATGTTCGGGGGTCTAGCCAATGCAAGCAAGCCAGGTTACTGAAGCGGGAAGCCTAACCAATCACAGTTAGCCCAATCACCCCAGTTACAGAAACAGAGCCCTGTTACCCTAGTTACAGAAACAATGTCCCATTAGGTAGTTCCATGTTCTTAAAGGTTTCTATAGCAAAAGGAAAAGAACATCTTGCCCCAGTCATGACCCTTCTACTTGGCATGGTTGTTTTACAGAATGGAGTCACAAAATGAAATGGAGTCACATTTGCTTTTACTATCACAAGGGACTGGACCAGAGGTGGAGTCAGAGCAGAGTTATATAATTTTATGCAAGTTTTTCTTGTGCTTGTGCATTGCCCCAATGTTAAATTTTGCAGGCAAAGTCATGAGTCATGAGCATTTCTTTTGAGACTCAGTCTACCTTTCCTTTTCTATTTCCCCAAATTTGATTAAAAAGAAATATACTGTGAATCTATTGGTAGTTATTAAAAAAGGAGCAGGGGGTTGGGGGATCAAGTAAAACCAATGACATTTCCACTCCCCATGAGCTCACTCCCTTCTCAGCTCTTATCAGAGGCCTGCCCTTCCCAGATCCAAGTCCATCTCCTTCAGGAAGTGTCCTGAGATCCCTCCCCACAACCATAAACACCTATAGTTTGTTCCTTAGTCTAATATAGCGCTTCTCATTATCTTCCATGTGTTTCTGTGACTTCTGTATGTGCCTGTCTTGGGGACCATGAGTCCTTGAAAAGAAGGCATGATTTACACATTTTACACAGGAATTAGTACTATGCACTTGATAGGTGCTTAGCAGATGTTTCACAATGAATGTGCATAAAACTGACCAGAAGTGAGCAATTTTAATAGGTGGTAGGACTCTTCCCTAAAGAGTCTCCAAAGACTGAAGAGGTGGCACTCCTTGGTCCCAGAGATATATCATTCTGGATACTGCACTCAGTAGCCATTGCATCACAATACCACTGAGCTGCAATTAAGGGTGTAGGTCATATATGTAGGAAAAAGTAAGTGGTCCTGAAATCTAGAACCTGAAAAATAAGGAAAATAAGATAATTTTGTGAGAATTCAAAGAATTCAATCCAGTGGGAAATGGCAGAATGTTTCCTTGGCTTTGGGATTTTTTCTTGACTGGCAAAACTCCTGATTTGATCAATGATTGTAATCTGAAGAAATATTGCTTTGACTCAAGGGAGTAACTAGGAAAACAGGACCCCCAAAGCAGCAAATATTGGCAATGCATTTAACACTGTCCATGGGAAAGAAAAGCTGAATTTGAACTTCATGAACATCTTATTAGTTGAAAGATTTTCTCTGTTCAAGCAAAGATAGTTTATCTGGTTTCCTCCCAAACCCAGCTGAAATAGTCATTAGGGATCGGTTACTGTCTGATGGGAAATAGAATCTCTGGGAATTTGTTCAAATTTTTAATTTATATACATGCAATTCAGGTGTGGCAAGTGCATTCCTTATTAAACTAGTTAAATAAAAACTATCAGAGGCAATCATTTTGAACTAAACTTCTACACTAGACCCCAACAGACCAGGCTACAGATAAAAATGGAGTTTTTTACTCACATATCACCAGCCAAAACTAAGCTGTTTATATGATTTTCTGAGAAACCAGGATTAGAAAGATACCTGCAAAGTTCCCAAGAGGCCAGTTTCAATTAGCAGGATAATGAAGATTTCTCAGCTTTAATCCTTAACACAAAAGAAGTAGCCTGAAATAAGCTGATACTAACCAATTATTTTTCTGTGATTTTGAATCCTCATGCCACTGTTTAGTAGAAGAAAGTAACTTTTGAAATGACCAATCTGCTTTTTGTTCTTTTGTTTCTTCTTTCTTTAGAAACAAAAGATTTTTTGCCTATAAAACAAAACTCTTCTGCTCAACCCATAGGAACACTTACTATATTCTATGAAATAAAGTGTTGCTCAATTCTAGAATCACAAACAAAGAAAATTAAGATCTTCAAACTAGTACTAGCTTCAGTAGCACGTATACTAAATTGGAATGATACAGAGAAGATTAGCATGGCCCCTGCATAAGGATGACATACAAATCCTTGAAGCATTCCATATCTTTGGTGGAATGTGATGGTCATCATTATGTAAAGTACATGTATGAAGATATGAATTGGTATGAATATACTTTGTATACACCCAGAGATATGAAAAATTGTGCTCTTTATGTGGAATATGAATTGTAATGCATTCTGCTGTCATATATAAATTTAAAAAATTAATTTAAAAAAAAAAACGAAAACAACAACAACAACAAAGATCTTCAAACTAAGGGTTGGGGTTGTAATCTGCTTAGCCTTGAAACCCTATGTTCAATGACTAGCCCTTCCCCCTGCCCTGCCACAAACCCCAAAAGGAAGAAATATCCTATGTGGGTCCTGCCTCTTCTTGCTTCCTTTTTCTGGATATGCCTCCACTCATAAAGACATATTCACCAAATAATTTTACTTATATAATGTCAAAACTTAACTTTTTAGCCTCAAGTCACCTTGGTCAGTTTCTGCTTTCATGTTTCCTAGATCTTATAGCAATCTTCCTTTTTCCATAGACAGATCTTCAATGGTGGTTCTCCTCCACCCTCACCCCGACTGTTTTTTTTTTTTTTTCCAATACTGGAGATTGAGCCAGGAATGCTTTACCACTGAACTACCTCCCTGATCCCTTTTTAAAATTTATTGTATGTATGTATGTATACATGGTTTTATGGTAGTGGGATTTGAACCCAGGGCCTCACACATGGTAGGCAAGTGTTCTACTACTTAGCTACATCTCCAATTCTTTTTCTTTAATTAAAAAATAGTAGTTTTATTGATTACACATAATTTTAACTATATTAATATATATTATAACTTCTAGAATTAGAAATATATTGTAAATATATGGTAAAATATAAATATATAAATATAAATACATGGTAAAATATACTTTATATTTTATCAAGAATAATCCAAGTTACAGCAACATGTTCAATGATACTTATTTAGTCCTGCAATCATCACATACCTATTTTCACATAACCAAGAAGTCACCATCCAAGCTTTACTGACACTATAGTTACCCCTTCAGACTGTATTACATAGAAACAAGACACGTTTCCTTTTCTAGTAGATACTTCTTTTTAATCATAAAGACATACTCACCAAATAATTTTACTTATATAATGTCAAAACTTAACTTTTTAGCCTTAAGAGTTGTCTCAAGTAGCTTTCATTTTGGAAAGCTATCAAGACATGAAACAGCAGCAAAATGACCTTCTGAACCTGGTACTTTTGAGTTTTCATTTTTGCTTAGAACACCAATTTAAAATGAAAACAAAATCATTCCCACATTATACTCATGTAGGGAGTCTTTTTATGTACACATTAACACAAGAATGTCAAACTGAGTAAGTTTTTTTTTTTTTTTTTTGGCAAATCACAGAAATAAAACAGTGCTATCAGAAACAGAAACATTTGCTTTAGTGTTTTATAGCCAAAGAGACTGATGAACGTCATTCAAATTCTCATCTCCTTCTTCCATGGCTTTCAAATTAAGTACTTCCAAAGAACCTTTGCCTTTATTTCCTTTTTTTTTTTTTATTAGCCTATCAATTTCTTGGAGCCTGCATCAAAAAGACATGATTTCTAGCTGCTGGCTGTAGTCTTCATTTTCTATAACCTTGATCAATGGCTTGAGCTTGTCCTTCAGCTCCTTCTCTTCATTCACTGGAAGAATGAACCCAGCCTCATGTGAACACATAGATCTTCATTTTCTCCTTTAGCTGCTTTATCACTTCTAAAGCCTGCTGCTTTATACTCTTGGTGGGTTTCTCTGAATAGTGGATGTACTTCCTGGCTCTCTCAATAAGGATCACAGTGTATGGTCTCTTTGTTTCTTGATTGACACTTTTGTCTGCACAATGGTTGCAGTATCCCTAAACATCTGCTCCAGCTGTGTGTGCCTTTCTTCATCTGATACCGGAACTTCTCCTTTAGTCAAAATCTGCTTACAGATTTCAGTTTGGTCATCTGTTCCAAATGCACTGATGAGATCTTTCTTCTTTGCAACCTGACCTTTAGAAACATTTACAAACACTGAGTGGGTTTGCAGGATTTCATCAAGGTCTCTTTCTCTTATTCTTGTAACAGGTGATCTCAAAGCACTTGCCCGAGTGCTTCATGCCAACTGCTGCCACATTGTCAGATGGATCTGATTGCTAGGGATGAAGATGGACATGGAGGCAGCTTACAGATGGCAGCCAGGGAACCAGAGCTCTACCCCTCATGACTACTGGCACCCACCTCCAACGACCCCAGGCAGGCACAACCTAACTACTGCTCAGAGCGTGCCACCCTCCAATTCTTTTCATTTTTTAAATTTATTTTTTAAAATTAATTAATTTACTTTAAGTTTTTGATACAGGGTCTAAGTTGCCTAGGCTGGCCTTGAAATCATGATCCTCTTGCTTTAGCCTCCCTGGTAACTGGGATTATAGGCATGTGCCACCTTGCCTGTTTCATTGGTGGTTCTTAATGTGGGGGTAGGACAGTAACGCTGGGGGTATTTGTTGAATCTCACAATGATTAAGATTTCTTTTTTATTTGATGAGTAGGACTCAAGATTGCTAGACATTTAGCAATTGTGCAAAGCACTCCCATATAATGTGGGACATTCCTATATTTCCAAGTTGAATGCCTATTCAGTCATTCATGTTGTTGAAATCCATTGTAATTAGGATTTGACTTTATTTAAAATATAAACAACACAAGGCATTTTATGCATAGCTTTAATATACACTAAACTTTTCAGGAATGCAATTACCCTAAAAATCATGAGATGATCATGCCTTGTCCGGTTCAAAAATCTGCCAGAAGTTATTCATTGTTTTGGAAAACTATGTTATACTAGTAACTTTGTTCATGGTATGTGAATCACAATTTATCTTAGTCAGTTTTCTGTTGCTGTGACAAAATACCTGAAATAATCAATTTATAAGGAGAAAGATTTATTTTGGCTCATGGTTTCAGAGATTTCAGTCCATGGTCATTTTGTCATGTTGCCTTTGGGCCTGTGGCATGGTAGTACATCATGGTGGGGAGCACATAGAAGAGGAAACTGATCACCTTAATGATGGATAGTTGGAAAATAGTGAAAAGAAGGGGCTGGGTCTCAATATCCCCTTTGAGGGAATGCCCTTGTGAGGTAGTAGGCCTTACATTCTAAAGGTTTCACCAATTCCCAAGTAGCATTACAGACTGGTGACCACACCTTTAGCATATGAGCCTTTGGGGGACATTTAAGATCCAAACTGTATCACCATTATAACATGTTTGTATCATTTTGCATTTGCAGTAGTTATGTTCAAGGTAATTCTATGCAGTAAGTAAGCATCTAACTACCAAATTTTGAATACTCTTGAATACTATGTCCAACATTCATTGGTTTATGTATGTATGTATTATGTATTTATTTGTGGTGCTGGGGATTGAACCCTGGGCCTCGTGCATGCAAGGCAAGCATTCTACCAACTGAGGTGTATCTCCAGCTATGCCCAAACATTTCTTATATATCTTTTTAGGACATTTTATTATTGTTATTGTTAATTAGGGGGGTCAAACCCAGGGACTTGTACAGGCTAAGTGCACAATTTACCACTAAACTCTATCTCCAGCCTCACATTTTACTATCTTTTACATTGTGTGGGTATGTATTATATTGTTTATGAATTGTATTTTAGGATAATATAAGGATATATTTATATATTTATTATAAAGGGGAGTGTCTTAGTATGGGTTGCTATAACAATTACCATAGGCTGGGTGGCTTAAGCAGCAAACACTTATTTTTCATAGTTCTAGAAGCTGGAAGTCTAAGATCAGATGCCAGTGTGGCAAGAGCCATCCTCCAGGTTGCAGATGATTGACTTTTCATTGTATCCTCACTTGGAAGAAAGAGAGCTAACTAGCTTCCTCTCAGCCCTATCCTTATGAGGCCAGGAGTATCATTTGTGAGGGTTCCACCTTCATGACTTAATTGCTTCCCAAAGGCCTCACCACCTAAACACTATCACACTGGGATTAGTATTTCAATATTGAACTTTTCGGGGGGTGGGGCAGGGGGGATGAAAATGCAGTCCACCGCAGGGAATGTGGAAATGATGGGATGAGTTGTAATGGAGGTATCTAATGAAGGAAGGTGGGATCAGGATCAGTTTGAGATAGGAATTTGGGGATACAGAAAAAAGAAAGAGTTTCAAGAGAAGTGCCCACAAACTAATGAAATGTTGGAAATGTCACGAACCTTCACAAATTTCTGAGCAACCCAGCCCATAGCCTTGGCCTGGGCCGTTGACCCATACCTTGCCTGTACATGGGGCAATGCACATGTGCAGAGAAAACTGGCACAAAATTGTGTAACTGGACCGACTCCACCTTCAGACCTACCCTTAGCCACCATTCCTCTATAAATATTAATATCCCACACCAAGGGGTTGCAGTCTTTCCCTTTGGAGATGGCCTTCATTTTTCCCTCGAATGTGTATTCCTTGTTTTGCCCCTAATCTTCTCACTCTGGAGACAGCCCACATTCTCCTTTGAATGTACATCTGCTTCCCTAAATAAACCTTTGTCCGTGTCTCTGAGTGATGGTGTTGGAATCCTTCTCCATCAAGTATGCCAAGAACCCCACTTGTTCTGAGTCAAGGTGCCCCTCTGTGGGAACTCTGGTACCTCCTGTGACAAGTTAATAGATAAAACAGAATGCCACCAATTCTGAACCAAAGTTCAGTTGTTACCTGAGACTCAAGGGTACCTCCTTAAGGGAAGCAATAATATTTTCCAGAAGGCAGCTAATCTATTTTGCATGAGGAAAGTTTGTTTCTCTGCTTCTACTTGTTTGGCCCTCATCTTTATAACATAGCACTAGCATTATCACCCTAACAGGTGACTTATCTCTTTTCCAAGCCTGTTTCTATTTGGGGGGAAACGATTCCATATTAGCCATTCAGAAGACTTGTGATAGATGTTTTGTCAACCAGGAATCTCCCTTCCAAGGGACAGGAGTGGGACGTGCTCTCAGTTTACC